TTGTGAATTGTCTAAAATTGCCGCCGCGAAAAGGAGAGGGAACCGAAAATATTTTAATGGATTCTTCTAATGTCGAAGTGAAGTAAAATACTCCATATAAATACGAAGTAAAATACTCCATATAAATATTTACCTATTTTTCTTACGTTGTGTCCCTTGTGCAATTGTTATTTTCTATCATGTACTTATTTATCCTAGAGATGGTCTTAAATTTGTCTCACATTTTCTGGTAACATCGAACAATACAATGTTAAGGGGTATATGGATTCAGAATAGATTCTGAAATGTAGAATGCTGTAATGAGACAAATATGTCATACGATTGAAATGGGATAATGAACCCAAAGGAAAAAAGGTACTTTTAATAAAGGGCCCTAATATAATCTCACTGAATATGAAGCCTTTTAATTGATTCCATTTCCTAATTTCTGTGGATAAATATTTTTCTTCTAATTGTTAATCTTGCGCTATTGAAGAGTATTTGGAGACAAATATACCGTTACAATCATTTAGCAATAATCCGTGAGTGAAAAAGTTGAGAGTTTACTGTAAATATCTTATTGAATATTTGGCAAATAATAACCCTCCAGCATTTATAGACCAATTTAATGTTCGCGCAATTGAAGGGCCTTTAATAGGAAATTGATAGAATTACCTAATTATTATTGCTTTAGCTGAAGGTACTGGCATTTTAAGAAAACCAATTTTGCAATTAGAAAATCTTATGAACCCTGTCTTTCCAAAAATTCCCCCTCAATCTTCCAATCAAAAAATGCCAAAAACCTGTTGTTTTATCTGAAGTTGTTGGATGTGAGTGAAATGATTATACCCAAATCTTATTTCAGTACCAATTATGATACAGGACATATACAGGGTATCCTAAAGGTATGGTCTCTTGAGGGGTAAATCTAATGTAAAATATTTGAGAATTATAACCCACAGAATATTTACTTTGGTCCAAAAACGAGATTAATAAAAATATTTCCGATTAAGAAACATATTGTCCAAAAAATCCTACATATTAATATAAGCTAATATGTTTTCTTAATATAAAAAAAGAATTATTTTTCTCTTATTTGGATCAAAAAAATTCTTTAAAGGAGTAACCATTTCAAATATTTTACAATTAAATTTCGCTGTTGGATACCCTACACGATTAGCAGCTGTTTAGCTATGGAATTTGTTTCTTCAAACTTTCAGATGGGGATTGGGTATTTTTCTGTTATCCTTTAATGACTTTTTTATGCTTATTTCTCTTTTGGGGGATGTTTCATATTATTATTAAATTATTTCTTATATTTTTTTTCTTTACACAAAAGTTTACATATTTTTCACTTTATTTTTATTTTATTTTAAACATTACACATTTTGTTGTTGTTGGTTTCTTTTTTTATACAAATACATTCAACACAATTCTTATTCATCTTATTGGGTTTTTTGTTTTAGTTTTCTTTGCAAATATATAAAGAGTTGTTTTTGTTTTGTTGTTGTTTTTTTTAATAATATTTCTTGTTGTTGTTTGGTTTGTTTGTTGTTATAACGTTAAGTAAGACTTAAATTTATAGAAAAAATGTGTTTTGTTTATAGTTATTATTTTCAAGAAAAAAATACATGTTTTAACATAATCTACACTTTTACACTTACACATTAACACAAAGTAATAATAATAATTAAGAATAAAAATAGTAATAATAATAAACATATAATAGTAGTAAATTAATAAAAACTGAGACATTTACATAAAGAAATCAAAAACACAGTTTTACATTCATAGAGTTCTTTTCTTTAAGCATGACAATTATATTATAATAGGGGGTAAAATAATGAGAGGGTAAAATCAAAAATTAAAATTATAAACAAACATATTTTAATTCTTCTTCTTCATCATCTTTTCGTTTTTCTTTTGTTAAACTAAACTTAAAGTCGTGTTTGTTTTAGGAATTCTCTTTCGTTTTGTTTTTGTTTTACTTTTCAGTTGCATGTTTCTTACTAAAACTATTTGAATTGTTACATACAAAATTATTAAATCAGTATTTATTTTTTATAACGTGAATGTAAAAATTAAATTAAGAAAAAAATTAAAAATACAAAAAGAGATGTTCATTTTCTTCTTCTTCATCATTATTATAACATTTGAGATTTTCTTAAATTTGTTTCAGTTCTGGTTTCAAAAAAAATTTATTTTCTTTTTTTTTTGGGTTAAAGTTAAACAGAGCGACCATAAAACAATTCGAGTTTGGTTTATTTACAATTTTCACAAAAAAATTAAATAAATATTTTATATTGTACAGGAAGTTTTTTTTTGTTAGCGAATGCCTCTTGAGGAAGGCTTATCTTTTCTATGTAAAATATGTATAGTGCCTAAAGCGAAGGCCTTAAATTTACAATTTTTTTTTTATTTTGAAAAGTGATAGGCTGGGCTGTAGGTGGTATTAACGAAAAGCCTTTTGGGGACAACGAATGCCTGTGATGAGGCGTAGCATATTTTAGTTTGCCCGTTAGTGTGGAAAGACTTTAGGAAAGTGTCTAAATTTAGTTACATTTTTTTTTTTACATTTGGACAATATTGTTTTTGTTTTAAAATACATTTGTACATATATTTATAATTTACATAAAAACACACAGTTAGGGAAAAGGTGCCCCGGCAATAAGAAATGTATTCGTGAAAATAAATTTGAAGATTTTGTGAAAGAGCTAATATAATAAATTTTTTTAATTGTACCTGTCTACAATATTTTAGGCAAGGGAATATTGAATTCTTTAGCATTTCAAAATTGCAATATTTACGAGAACCTAAATTTTGTATCACAATACTAACAATTGGATTTAATTAACATATATTTTAGAATTTTCGTTAATTTTTCGAATTTCAAATAAAAGATGACAATCTCAGTATCTTTTAAATAAGGTTTACATGGATTTATACAATTTTTACAGAGTACAATTTCTGTTTAAATGTTTACCGAGTACTAAAAATTGAATTTGAATTTAAAAATGTGTTATTTGTGGAAAAATTACTCATAGGATTTAATTAAAAAAGATTCTGTTAGATTTTTTATTTGAAAATATGAAATTATTTTTTAGTACAAATATTGGTCAAATTGATTATTTAGTATTAATAAAGAAGTTAATTCTGAAATATTGAAAAGCTCAATCATCTTTAATTTACGAAAATTATTAAACAACATTTAAAATGATTTCAAGCTTTTTGGCAATATGAATTTTCGGAGTTCTAAACTTGAGACGACTTTTTTTTAAACGTTATGTTGAACTGAACGAATACTGAGGACGAATATTTGACTTGGTTTCAAATGTCTGAATATTGACAATTTTTAAAATTAAAGGAGTATTTTTAAACTGTACTAAATTTTAGAACATTTTTTCATTACAAACGAATATAAGAAATTGATACTACATTTAAAAAAGTCAAATAATTATTTTATTTTACATCATTAAAAAAGTTTCGGTTTAATTCAATTTTATGAAGATTTGGTATGCTGAGTTTTTTATAAGAAAAAAATTAAAAGTGTTAATGGTTCATTCGAAACAAAACTGTGAAATCTGAACATTGAACTGAGAATATTGAGTATTCGAAATTGAACAAAGAGTATCGAATATTTCGTCTAGTACTAAGAATTGTGAAATATATTCCAAGCAAATTTATTTTCACGAAACGAAAACATGATTTCAATTTTTTGCTGCGTTTTGTTTGTTTTGCGGCACTTAGGAACTTAATAATGGAGTTGGTTTCAATACTTGTAGCTTTTAAGAAAAATTTACAAAAAGTACAAAAAAAATCTAAGAGGCTCTCTTTAACCCAAAAAATAAAATATTTTTAAAATTAAATTATTAGATTATCTCAAAATCTCGTCTTTATAAAAAACAAAATTAAAAGAATAACATACAAAATGAAGCGATAAAACATACATATATAAACAGTTTCAAGTTATCAAAAAAAAAAAAAAAAACGAAAATTAATACAAATAAAAATACATAAAGTTATGGTTATGGTCCTAATATCGAAATTACATAGTACTGTTTTTTCATTTAAATTTAAATTTTAATCATCATATCTCATAGTAAGTAGTTGGTAATTATAACAAAAAAGTAATTGTAAAAGTAGTAGGAATAGTAAGAGAGGATGGTCTCCAAACGAAAAAAAAAAAAATTAAATTTAATGAAAAAAATTACAAATTACAATTACAAACCTAACCTAAACATTTGTGTGTGTGTTCTCTCAAAGTATTTTTCAAAAAAAAAACTTGGTTAATTTATGAGTTTTGTTTCTTTTAGTACTCAGCTTTAGGCCAAAGTTACTTAAATTCATGGGTGTTGTTGTTGTTGGTATTTTTTTCTCAATTATGTGGTAAGGGTGTGTGTGAGTCTAGTAAAAAAATCCAGTTTTTTCTTTATTCTTCTTCATCGATTTGTTTGTTTGATACTTTATACAATTGTTTTGTTAATTTTTGGAAATTGTTTTTTTTCTTTCTATTATCTAGTGTCTCTCAAAAAATATTTTCATAAAAAATTCTGATGCCAAGGGGTTTCAATTTTTTTAATTATGACAAAGCGAATGCCTTGTCTGTATTTTTGTTTTTGTTTCGACATGAAAAAAGTTGGCAATTGTCTGGGCCCTCTTTGGTTTTGGTGTTATGTTGCTGTTGTTGTTATTGTTGTTTCTTTACTACAAAGAGAGAGCGCGTCATAACAATTAATTACTTTTTTCCACATAATATTTGTTGTTGTTGGTTTTCATGTTTTTGTTTTCATGCACTTAAAATCTAAGAAAGAACTCCGTTTTTTGAAATTGGTAGCCATCAACATCTTTGTTTACTCCTTTTCAGTTGTTGTTGTTGTGTTTTTTTCAAAATTATTACTAATGTTGTATTTCTTGTTGTAAAACTTATTTGCAAGAGAAAAATTCCGCACTTCTTCTACACAATACATACAAAAATCGACATGACTGACTGCGTGTCTGTCGGTCGATCGGTCATTTTCTTAAATTTACAATACCCCATTGGTAGTGGTTGGTGGACCAATGGGTCCCAAATTACTGGCCGCTGTCACCGATGTCAATTGTGTTGTACTGCTGCTGGTCGCCACCGAAGAAGCCACCGACACGCCCACCATCGATTGGGCCATCGATGAGGCCGCTGCCATAATACCATTTTCCATTGCCTGTACAGCGGCAGCATTACTGTTGTTGTTGTTGCTCGCGGTTACCACAGTTGTTGTATTGGTATTATTCACCGACGAGGACATCGAATTAGCTGCAGTTGTTGTTACAGCACTAAGGCCCTGATTTAAACCGGCAGATACTGATGATGTTACGGCTGATGTTGGAACTGCTGCTACTGTTGTGCCCGTGGCGGCGGCTGCTGTTGTTGAGGTGATGGGATTTGAGGTCTTCATGAAATATTTTTCCAATTTGGCATTAATATGCTTGCCATAGGTGTATTTACGCAATGCGGCCATGTGAGGGCGTATTTTATTCATTAGCTTTTTCAATTGTGTCGGTTCGGAGACATCAATCATTTTTTGGACCACATAATTGGCATATTGATCTTTCATCATAACATGTAAGGCGCTGTGGAGGAGAGAATGGAAAAAAACGATTAGTATAGCAGGGACATTTTTCTATTAAATAATTTCAAGGGTTATCAGATCCAGGACCATAAAAGTGTGGAGTTTTTTTTTACATATTTTTTTAAGCACCATCAACAATATTTATTTTAAGGTATATTATCAGGCATGGAGTAAACAAATTCTCAATACCTATTACTAGGCGTGGACCTTTAAAAAATATTTTCTAAGGGACTATCACAAGGCGTGGCTTTTTTAAAAATATTTTCTAAGGGACTATCACAAGGCGTGGATTTTTTAAAAATATTTTCTAAGGGACTATCACAAGGCGTGGATTTTTTAAAAATATTTTCTAAGGGACTATCACAAGGGGTGGATTTTTTAAAAATATTTTCTAAGGGAATATTTTTAACGGACTATCAAAGGCGTGGATTTTTTAAAAATATTTTCTAAGGGACTATCACAAGGCGTGGATTTTTTTTAAAAAATATTTTCTAAGGGACTATCACAAGGCGTGGATTTTTTAAAAATATTTTCTAAGGGACTATCACAAGGCGTGGATTTTTTAAAAATATTTTCTAAGGGACTATCACAAGGCGTGGATTTTTTAAAAATATTTTCTAAGGGACTATCACAAGGCGTGGATTTTTTAAAAATATTTTCTAAGGGACTATCACAAGGCGTGGATTTTTTAAAAATATTTTCTAAGGGACTATCACAAGGCGTGGATTTTTTTTAAAATATTTTCTAAGGGACTATCACAAGGCGTGGGTTTTTAAAAAGTCTATTTTCTAAGGGACTATCACAAGGCGTGGGTTTTTAAAAAGTCTATTTTCAAGAATTATTAGAAAGTGGATGAAAAATTCTTCGAGGGACTGAGAGCATAATCCTGTTTTAAGGGAATAACCTCTAATTTTTCTAAAAAATATTTTTTAGAAGTGAAAATTAAAAAAAAAAAAATAAAATAAAAGTTGAAGATCGATTCAGCTCTTTTATTTTTTAAGAATACTTTTTATAGCCCCAAAAGAGCTCTCCATTTTTTGCAATCTTTTTTGAGGGTAATATAAACAAATATTTCTGAAATAAACAAGAGACTTTATTTTGATATTACTGATACGACCTTAGGGCTATGATTCCACACACAATTTGTTTCCCATTTGTAACTAAATTTTCCATCTCAATGGAATTGGAAAGAAATCATTTATCCTAACAAATCTCCATAACATGTGTTTTCCTAATGCAAATGTAATAAATATCTAATCCATGACAAATTATATACAATTGGATTTAGGATACGAATAATTTCCTACCCCCAAAAAAGGTACCTATAATGGTCAGGAAACTATGCATAACAAAACAACTACAAATTTACATCATTTTTTATGTAAAAAACCTAGGATATATACAATTTAGTCCTTTTTTATCTATCAACCAAAAAAAAAGAACAACAACAAACACTATACTTACTTGTCATTGAAGGTGCAGACTTCATCAATCAAAGCTGTACGTTCGGCCCGTGTAGCATGTGTGACACATTTCTCCACCACATTGGAAGCGAATTTGTGTTGTGATAGAACCAAAACTTTGCCCCGTACGCTATTAATCAAAATTGATTTGTCTTCGGGTTTGCCATGTTCTAAAAATGTTGGCAGAGGGAGGGAGGGAAATAGTCGTTTAATAACAATTCATTTGACAAAAACAACAACCCTCCTCAAAATTTGAGGAGGTAAACATTTCAACTTACCCAATACATGTTGTATAACATAATTGCCATATTGGTCCTGTATCAATTGTTCCGTATTCTCATGCAATTCATCCAATATTGGTTGGGTCTGCTCAGCGGTGCAGTGTTCCAAAATACGCTGTATCACACGACAGCCATAGGGATGTGTGCTCAACGAGTAGACCTGTCCCTTGAAGGCATTTATGATGAATTGCAATGCCGTCGGATCGACACATTCGATACACTTCTGAACGACATGATTGCCATTCTGATCTTTGACACATTTGAGTACATTACCATCCAGTTCACGTACGATTTCTTGTTGCTGTTCGGCCGAGATGCTTTCCAGAGCCTTTTGAATGACACGACAGCCGTACATTTGCAGAGCCAATTGCAAGACATGACCCTTCACCTGCATACCGAGAGTGTTCTTCTGTTCGGGTGTGCCAAATTCAAAGAATTTCTGTATGACATAATTGCCAAAGACATCGGTCATGAGGCTGTAGGCGGCACCAAGGATTTCATTGAAAACCATTTGTTTCTCGGCGGCTGTGGCACGTTCCAATTTCTGTTGGATGAAACGCGAGCCATGTTGGTCCTGTGAAAATTCGACAATGTGATTGGCCAAATCACGCAATTGCAGATTGGGGTAACGTTGATTGCGGAAGTCCTCGAGCAGGCGAGAACGTCCCGGTTGTGGAGCACCGGCAGCAGTACCTGCGGCAGCAGCAGCTGCAGCGGCGGCCGCTGCAGCAGCACCCACACCACCAACACCGGCGGCAGCTTGACGTGTAGCAGCTGCTGCAGCAGCAGCGGCGGCCGCAGCGGCAGCAGCAGCTGGTGTGGCACCGGGTATAGCCAAATGTTTCGAGAACAACGAATTTTTCTGACCGAACATATTATTAACTTGGGCAGCGAGAGAAGTTGGCGGTAAGCCCACAGCCATTTGTTGACGATACTTCGATTCAGCTCCGGGAGCACGATTATTCATTAGGCACGATTGTGGTGGCGGAGGTGGTGTAATGGCAGTTCCAATGGGACTGGCGGATGCGGTGGCGCCCAATGCGCCATATGTATTGTTAACGGCACCGGGCCATTTGCCGAGGGCAGCGGCGGCAGCAGCAGCTGCTGCAGCGGCTTGAGCCACCGTCGAGGAGACAGCATTGGCAGCGGCTGCATTACTATTGGTATAATCCATGGCAGAGGGACTGAAGGCAGAAGTGGTGCGGTCAAAGGAATCACGGCGACCGGTCAATGAGGATGTGTTCAATGCAAGGCCTATGAGGAGAGGGTGGGAGGGAACAGAAAATAGTAAAAATGTAAATTAGAATGGAATTTATTGCATAGCCTTATTTGTATTTATTAATTTTCCATAAAATATACAACGGTTAATTTCTTACGGCTAAAATAAAGCATAACTTTAGGGATGTTAATTTCATATATTATTTTAAAAAAACATATTTTGATTATTTATTTTTTTTTTTTTTGATAATATATTCTAATAATTATTTTGATATCAAATATTTTATAAACAATATTTATGAATCCCTTATATTCAATAAATAAAGCATACTTTGAGGCATGTTAATTTCGGTTTTTGTTTTTATACAATTATTTTATGTTTTAATTTCAAAAAAGGTTTTAAATATTTATTTAATATTATAAGAACCTTAACAAATTTCGGATTAATATATAAAACAAAAAATCCATTACATATTTTTAGGGGCATTGGTTTCCAATTTCCATTGCCTACTTTTATGTTTCCACAATCATTTTCCTTAGGATTTATAATTAATTTAAATTGAAAAAATACAAATCCAAAGTCGGCATCGAATGTTAAATGTCATCGATTTTCTATTGCATACTTTTAGGTGTTAATATTTTTTAAAGAAATTATTTTTTTATTTGCAATTATCTCATTTTACACTTAGCTAAAACCTCTGTAACCACATATTTTTTTCAATACAAACAAAAAAATCATTGCCTACTTTTAGGTGTCCATAACCATTTTCTTGGCATTCATAATTAATTGCAGTTTTCAAAATTAAAACAAACAAAAATTACCTCCATTTCCTTTATAACCTTAAACATTTTTTTATTGTTATACAAAACAAAAATTCCATTGCATACTTTTGGGGTCATTTGATTTCCCTTTGCCTACTTTTAGATTCCCATAATCATTTTCTCTTTGGATTCATAATTAATTTTAATGTAGAAAAAAAAAATTATTTCCACTCCCAGAAAACCTGAGTGTAACAAAAAAAATCCATTGCATACTTTTTGGTGGCCCTCTGAGCATTGTTTTGATTTTTTGTTGATAATTAAATTTTCATCAACATTAATTCAATTAATTTTCATTCACATTTGTCCAAACAAAAAAAAACACAAAACTTTGTTAACCTCACGACATCTACTGCCAAACCAGCACAGTCGAACCAAGTCCATAATGTCTTATCTCTACAATTGGGGACCCAAAGCCAATGTTAAGTAAGTGGTGCATGCAACGTAAACCTCGAGGTCCATAAAATATTAAAACACCATTAGTTTATTACGGAGTAGCCAGGTAAACAGAAATCTAGACGGCAATTGTTACAAACAGACAAAACGCCAATCGAAACCAACCTGCAGCAGCTGGAACTTTTATAACCACAATAATGAAGAAAAATTAAAGACACCACAGGCACACACACACATACTCACTCTCTAACAAGAAGAGAGAAGGTACGAACAAATAAAATGAAATGTTTTACTCTACTTTGATTATGTACGTGGTTGTAAAACAAATCGTACGCTAATACTACTTAAATAAACTTTATTCTTTAGGCCACCCGGTTTTTTTTTGTTTGTTTGCTTGTAACCAGAGTTTAGTACCCATGACTATCTGGGAGAATCTTGTTACACAGTCCTCCACATCCTTGGAATGCCACCAAGCACATCGACCACACCACCACTCGACATAACATTCAGTGAGTACTGGTAGTGGTGTGTGAACATTACGACTGCATTAAAATCTCGGCTATTTCAATTTCAAATATCCACGTACTACCACCATTACCACCTTCCGACCAAATGCTGAGGTTACAAAATGTTGGTAAGGTTTGGGTTCTTTCTTTTTTTGTGAAATTTTATTCCATTCTAGAAGGGAATAAAAATCTCTTCACTTCTCTTTCGGGAGAGAGGGGTGAACGGAGGTAAACCGAATAAGTACAACAAAAATAATAACATTTCACAAACGTGACCGTTCACAGGTGCAATGGATTCATTCAGTTTCATTCATTCGTTTGTCTATCTATCTGACTGTCGGTCTGTCTGTTTGTGTGTCCGTCCAAGCATCCGTTTGCAAAGTAAAGTATCCGTTTCCGTATACACAGTGTAACTTTGAGACTACATGTCCGTCTGTCCGTCCCCATGTCAGTGTCTATTAGTGGATTCTATGATGCTGCCTGAGCGAACGAGCGAATTAGTGTTTGTGCCTCTGCTTTCAGACAAAAAAATCCCCACAGACTCAAAATGCAATTTAAAAGTTTTATTTTCTTCTGTCTTTAGTGTCGTATTCCCTTTTGGTTTTTAGTTGTGTGTGTGTGCGAGAAGTTTTTCTTTTTCACTATTTCTTTTTACCAAGCCATCACTTTATTGCCTTTTTAGACATTTGAAGTTTTGGGGGATGGGTTTTCTCCTTTAGATTTATTGACATGAATGTGCGAAAATCAAAAAGGTAGCATTTACTGGAAGATGGATTTTTTTATAAAAGTTTTCTTAAGGGGTGGAGCGCGAGGGGAAGGCAATTCAAGAAGAGAGGGGATGAGGAAATAATAGACACAATTAATTGAAACATATGTATTTTAATTTTCAAACATATACAAATCTAAACTGTAACAATTGAATAATTCTATTATAATATTGCATACTTTTAGGGGTAAGAAGGTAAGGTGGGTAAAGGGAAAAATGTAACAAAGTGAGTTGCATTAATTAATTAATGGTGTGGCATAATTTTAGGGTAATAAATTTTGATTACAAAATGTTCAAAATTATTTTTCCCAATGGCTTTAGAATATTTGTATAGTTGACATTTAAAGTTAAACTCATTAAAAACACCGGAAAACTTCGTTCACAAGGCGTGGGTTTTTTTAAAAAATATTTTAAGCAACTTCCGCAAAGCTTGAATTTTTATACCCTTCACCACACTGTGGTACAGGGTATTATGTCTTTGTGCACATGTTTGTAACAGGCAAAAGGAAACGATATAGACACATGGTTCCTTTTGAGGATATGCATAGAATCACTTTCTGAGTTGATTTACGCATGTCCGTCTGTTCGTCCATGTATTTTTGTGAACAATGTACAGGTCGCATTTATGATCTGATTTGGATGAAATTTGGCATAGGTCACTTATTTGGCCCAAGGACGAACCCTATTGAAATTTGGAAAACTCGGTTCAGATTTAGATATAGCTCCCATATATATTTTTGTCCGATTTAATGTAAATGGTGCACCAAAGCCCCTATATAACTTTCGATTTACACGAAATTTGGCACAGCGTAATGAATTAGGACCACAATGATGAGTGCAGAGTTTCTTGAAAATCGGTTCATATTTAGATATAGCTTTCATATATAGTTTCGTCCGATTTTAGGTAAATGGTGCACCAAAGTCCCTATATATCTTTCGATTTGCACGAAATTTGGCACAGCGTAATGAATGAAGTATAGAAAGATGTGTGCAGAGTTTCTTGAAAATCGGTTCAGATTTAGATATAGCTCCATATATAGTTTCGTCCGATCTGATGTAAATGGTCCACCAAAGTCCCTATATATCTTTCGATTTGTACGAAATTTGGCAGAGCGTTCTGTATGAAGTGCAGAATGATGTGTGCTAAGTTTCGTGAAAATCGGTTCAGATTTAGATATAGCTCCCATATATATTTTTGTCCGATTTATGTAAATGGTATTACCAAAGTCCCTATATATCTTTCGGTTTGCACGAAATATGGCACAGCGTAATGAATTAGGTCTAGAATGATGTGTGTTAAATTTCCTGAAATCGTTTCAGATTTAGATATAGCTTCTTTATCTGATCAAATGAAAGAAATTAGTATAGGTTGCAGAATGACATGTTTATGGACCCAATTTCATTTTGTTGGTCCTTTAAAAATGCGAAGTCTGTTAGGATTCATCTGTTTAATATACCCAAGGTGGTGAAGGGTATCATATGGTCGGCCCCGTCTGACTTTACTACTTCCCTACTGGTTTTTTAATATTTTTAAGGGACTACAAAAAGGCGTGGATTTTTTAAAGAATATTTTTAAGGGACTACAAAAAGGCGTGGATTTTTTAAAGAATATTTTTAAGGGACTACAAAAAGGCGTGGATTTTTTAAAGAATATTTTTAAGGGACTACAAAAAGGCGTGGATTTTTTAAAGAATATTTTATGAGACTTTTTCCCTTAATTTTTCAGTATTGCTATTAAATGCCTACCGTTATTTTAGTAATTGCATACTTTCGGGGATATTTAGTATTAATTTCATATTTATAATTTTTTTTCAGTATCAATTTTTGTTCGGTTTTTCAAATATTTTAAATAAATATATAACAAAAAAATTAAATATTCATTACAAAATTTAAAACATTTCCACAGAGCATCATTCCGAATAATACCCAATTATCCTGATAAACAAAGACACACACATATCAATTTAATGCCGACACCTTCATTCGCAAACAGATTCCCTTCCCTTAAAAATCAACAAAAACCACACATTTTTTGTATTAGTAATTGTTGTTGTTGTTATTTAATTTAATTGCAAATTGTTGTTTACAACACCTAAATGTATGCTATGCCAAAAAGAAAAAAACAACACGCTGCAAAACGTTTATGTAATTACAATTGTAAATAAAAACGTGAACGCCTAAAAGTATGTTTAAATTTTTACATCAAAAACTAATTTTTTTCTCTCTCTCATTACCAATGGCAATGTGTAGAAATCGAACGCACACACACATACTCACACACATTTTAAATGCATTTTTGCCAAAAATGTTAAACAATTTTGCAAAACAATTACTATTTTATAGCAGAAGCAGTAACAACAATAACAAACAACAACTGCATGTTGTAAATGCCAAAATGATTAAAAGGCAAATGCTGTATTTTTTTTGTAAATTTAAATATATGTAGGTGTGTGTGTGTGTGCAGCATGTGAACATGCATCGTCGTCAGACAGATATTTTTAAAATTTGTATGCATAAACAAAACAATTATATTGTTAACAATTACCGAT